TAACTCAATTAATGGAATTTACAGATTTGAATTACCATTATACTTATTGTAGTAATAGGCACGCCACTTATTCTAAATTAATTTAAGAAAAGAAAAAAAAATACATTATACTCAAAAAACACTTAAATTATTCAAAAAAATTAAATAAGTTGTTTTTTTATTACGTTTAGTTAATCTCTTATATTTTTATTTTAAATTAAACAAATCCTTATGAGTAATGATCGACTAATTCCTATCAAGGACTAAGTCAGCCAAATTTTGTCTGGGAGCCAAATATAGAAGAATAATGGTTTAAAATTTTAAAAAGCTAATATGTTACATTCAATCAACTATAAAAATACTGATAATAGAATTATGAAACTAAATATAAAATTATAATTTGTAAAATATAAATAGTTAAAAATGATATATAAGATTAATAATTTCTCTTTATATAATTAGAATTATTTAAATACTATATATTTAAGATAATTTAATTTCAACTAAATATAAAACGTAAAGCATATAAAAAAATATACTCAAATTAATTCTTCTTACATAATCAACATTAATTAAAAAAATAATATATTGATAAAATTGTAAGTAATAATGTAACACTATAACTTATATTTAAAAATTATATAATAATTTATTAATTTTTAAATATTAAAATTATAAAAAATAAAATCTACATAACATAAAAAAGAATAACATCAGAAGTAAAAAGTAGATACCATATATTACATAACAAAAAGGAAAGAGAAAGAGTACGGGCAATGGTTTATAGAAATTTGAGAAAGAAAATTATAAAAACCTATAACATATGAACAAGTTGAATAGAAATAAATAAATAAATAAATAAATAAATAAATAAATAAATATAAATATAATAATATAAATTGAAAAAAAATTAAAGTTGAGTGAGATATGTGAAATCATTTTATTATTTTTTATTTACATTAATTATTAAATAAAAATCATTTTGAAGGAGTCATTAATAGAATATATAAAAAATTTAAAAATTTTTAAAAGTTTTGGGGGCCATGTCACATAAGGAGAATCCATCATGATTCCCATTAATGAAAATAATATTTATCATTTCATATTTATATGACACTTATATAGTATTGATGTAGAGAGGAAAAAATATCATATAATCATGTTATTATGTCAAATTAATAAATTACATTATCATTAATTATGATATATTAACATATCATGTTAGTATCATGTGACATACAATGATAAATGATATTTTAATTAAGTTAATAATTTATTATAAAAATTTATGTGACTCAAAATAAAAAAATAAAAATTTATTTAACTCAAAATATAAATCATATGATACAATATATCCTCCTTTGACTTTGACGCACAGTATAAATCTACCATTTATTTGTTAAAAGGAAAAAAAAAGCTGTAATTTTATGATTGAAATTCATAACTGTCAATCATTAAAAAGATCAGAACTCTTAACAAAATAATTTTTTAATAATTAAATAATAAAAAAATTTAAAAATAAACCTTAGGACGCATAAAATATTATCCCTTCTCCGCATACCCCACCCCCGGTGATCTTGGCATACTAATGGTTAATAGATGGTTCCGTCACGACTATTTGGATTCCCCAAACATCCGCGCGTTGGATGAAAGGACAGACAGCGCAAATGGCTCAGGCCGGTGGACCTCTCCTTTTCCACTCACATTTTCAATCAAAATGGAAAATACCATATTTACCTCCACTACCACTAAGGGTGTGCATGGGTCAGTTTCGGGTCGATTTTTAGTCAAAACCGACCAAAAATTTTTGGGATATAACCGACCGAACTGCAATGATATAAGTCAGTTTCGGTCGATTTTTTAGAAAGTCGATTTCGGTCGGTTTCGGTCGATTTTTGATGATGAGATTAATGGGTTGACTTAAGTTGACTTGGGCTAAAATGGGTTGAATTGAACTATGATCTATGGGCTAAAATGGTTAAAGATTAATGGCTAAAATGACTCGTGGGAGACTGGGAGGGGGGGCAGCCCAGGCCGGGAGGGGGGAATCGGGACTCTTGGGAGGGGGGCAGGGGGAATTGGGACTCGTGGGAAGGGGGCCGGCGGGAATCGGTAGGAGTGGAGGGGGGTCGGGGGAATCAAGTCGGGTCCGTCGGGGGGGGGGGGGCTGAGAGCCTGGGAGGGGGGCCGGCGCGCCAGGGGAAATCATTCAAATCAACACAACAATCAGGAGTCGGGGGGGGGGGGGTCGGGGGAAATAGTAGGGGTGGGCCATGGGTAGCCGGGGAGGCTCGATTTTTTCGGTCGGTTCGGGGAAAGGATTCCCCCCGACGATCGAGTCGATCAGCCGACGAGGCCGATCGGCAACAACCGACAGTTGCAAAAACAACCGACGGTTGGCAAAAACAACCATCGGTTACAAAACGACGGCTGCGGTCGGTTGGACGGTTCCAACCGACCGTTGCCCACTCCTAACTACCACTTCAAGTTGGAAAATTATTAATTTTCTTAATTATAACTTAATTAATGGAATTTATGGGTTTTAGTTACCATTGTACTTTCTTCGTTGTAGTAATACACTCACCACTTATTCTAAATTAAATTAAAAAAACATAATATTAAAAAAACACTTAAATTATTTAAAAAATTTTAAATAAGTTCTTATTTTTTATTATGTTTAATCAATATCTTATACTTTTACTTTAAGTAAAATAAACCCTTATGATGAATAATTGATTAATTTTCATCAATGAAAATGATATTTATAATTTTTTATCCACATAATACTAATATAGTGTTGATGTGAAAGTTAAAAAATATTATATAATTATATTATTATGTTTAATTAATATATCATTTTATTATTAATTATGATTTATTAATATATCACATCATCATTAATTATGATATATTAACATATCATATTAATATCACGTTATATAAAAAGAGAAATGATATTTTAACTAAGTTAATCATTAATAATAAAAGTTTGTTTAACTAAAAATAAAAAAATAATAGTTTATTTGATTCAAAATACAGGTATAAGAACTTGAGTGAGTGTAATTAAAATATAAAGATTTATTTAAATTTTCTTACATAATTTTGAGATTTTTTAAAATATTATATTAAAAAATGAATACATATTTTATGTCTTGCCTTTTATAATTTGAAAAAAAAATATAAAATTGTTAAAAAAATTATCCAATATGTACAAAAAATGAATAAATGGTTTATTAGTAAACCAATTAACGATTCAAGTTGAGACTTTGAATTGTCCTTTGCGGTGCTACGCTTTGAATTTCTCTTAAATTCCCTTACCTAATCAGTAAATGCTAAAGCTAGTACTTCCAAGCAATTTCAGAAACCATTTTTTTTTCATATTATATTGATAATATAATTATGATTTTATCTTTATATAGCAAACTTGATCATAAGTTCAGCCAATGAGAAAACCCTGAGAAGGAAAATAATCAAAGTTGAAATGAGAGACATGCAAAATAAAGACTGCGAAAAAGTCTAGTCTATAACCATAAGTCAGTCAATCAGGCAACAATAAGCAATTTTCCATTTCCGTCTTTTAACCAATGAAGAGATTAACATGCAAGGCAGCAGGAAGGCACGTGTTGCTTCCAACTCTCCACTTTTAACGTTATTATCGTGCAAACAAATTTTGATTTGTCAATCTGGTTGAATCTCGCTGCGCCCAATGTATATCTTTCAATCCAACTAATTGCTATAAATTTACGTCTAAACCTGTTTTAATGCAAAACACGAGTTTTTGAATTGATAAACCAATTTTAATTATAAAAGTGTTCATATAAGATATCATGTCTCAATTGATTTTTTGATCATTGATAAAGAGTAAATTTTAATATCTTAAATAATGATATTTAAAAAAAAAGTAAATTAAGATTCTTGTTGAAAGTGACTTCAAGAATGTTATCATTTGGTCATTTGACCATAACTCTGTTCTGTTTTTATCCAACTATATTAAAACGTTCAAAACAAGTTCTAAGGATCTAACCTTCACTCACATTAATAGAAAGGTAAACACTCTAATTGATAGGCTTGCAAAAACTAAAACTATCAGGTTCAATCATTTTTCAATTTTGTTTTAATCTTGTATAAAAAAATAAAAGTGTTTAGTCTTTATTCTGTTCATCTCATTAGTTCACTTTATTGAGTTTGTAAAATTTTGAATTTATGTTGATTTTTTCTTTCTATTATTGTGATTTTTTTGTAAGTCAATTTTTTAAATTGTCTTTGACAGTTTTTTTGTATTACTTTAATTGGCTCTGTTTATGATCACTTGCCATTCAAAAAAAAAAATCATTATCAATAGTTTGAAAAAATCATTAAATATTGAAATTTGGCGATCGTGTAATTGTAATTTCTAGACCTTCCAAGTGGTAAACACAAAAAAAAAGGAAAAGAGAGAAAATATTGCATAGAAAGGGCATAATCGTCAATCAAAATGCATAAAAACGTGGCTTTGCAATATAAATTGTGTACGTGTCGGCTCCATAATTTGATGGCGTAAAATTGCAACGTCATTAACATAGTCCCGAATAAAATTATTTAACTCATGAAAAATTTCACCTAGAAACTACCAAGCCTAAATTAAAAGCTTCCAATAAAACCAGATAATAAAAAATAAAAAAAATGAAAGATAGAAATATCTAAATGGAAGGGTATTTTTGTGTGGCTTCACTATCTCTCATATTTCTCTCTCCGGATTATCTCTTCACCTTCCTTGCTTCAAATCCATCGTTTATTGGTCCAATATCCAGCTCTTAACTGCGCACAAACCAAATTTAAAAGAAAGCGAAAAAAGGAAAAAAAAAAAAAAGCCGTAACGCTTTCTCGAATTCGAAACTCGAAGCCGAATGAGACAATCCTCGAATTTATTTTCTCTCAGCTCTGTTCCGCAAAAACTCTTTCTCTACCTCTGATGTGTTTGATGATTGAGTTGCTGTTTAATGCCTAGCTCGATTCAATGAGATTACTCTGCTGTTGCAAACATGGCCTCTGCTCCTTCCTTATCCGGTGCGTTTCAGTTTTTATTTTTTTTTTCTATTCTCTCCGATTTAACTATGTTTCTTGTTTGGCTACTGATAACGAATGTTGGAAAAATAGCGGAATTTCAGTTCTCCAGTGCTTATTTCCTTCACAAATTTCGACTTAGTTTTAATTTTAACCAGCCGAAAGAGTGAACAATTCATTTTATGCTTTATTTATTTATTCACTTATGTTTCTGCCTTTGTTTGGTTTTTGTTTCATTTGATTGCAGTTTCTGTTGAATGCGTGAATATATGCAAGTTAACGAAAGGGGAAGGAAGTGGAAGGTATGATTGTAGCGTGCTTTCGTGTGCTTGGAAAGCTCCAAGGGTCTTAACTGGATTCCTTGCCAGCACTGCCAATCCTTCTCATTCTTCTTCCTTTGCCTACGCCCGCTATGGAAGTAGAAATCGGATCAAATCTGTGAGTTTATTTTTATTTTTCCCTCTTTGTATATGTTAGATTCGTAGACTCTCAAAGTTTGATAAGATATGTTTTGCACTGCAGATGATGTTAGATTGAATTTATTGCCTATAATGTTTTTTAGTTGATTTGACTTATAATTGATGTTGTGGTTTGAGAATAGGAATTATGATTCTTGTAATTTTCCGTCCAATCTGATTGGAAACTGTTATTTAGGAAGGTTTGTTAGGTTGACAAATATGAAATGTTTTGTTGAGTTTGGATTGACTGTAAGTGGGTGTGTTTCTTCAGTGCTGGGAATCGTTCAAAAGTTCCTTGCTGGTGTATGAATTTAAAATTGGAGTGGGTTGAATTCAGGGATAACACATATCGAAAAAATTGTTAATATTAGGCCAATTAGGTGGAATATTCATCTTTTATTCAAATTATGTTGCTATATTTATGACTTTTGTACAAATCGCATGCATAGGTGATAATGTTAGTGCTGGTTCGTTCTTTTGTTTTCATCAGGCTCTTGATGGAGGAGGATGCTATTCAACAGATGTTTCCGAGTTTGTACTGCTCGGAAAACTCTTCAAGTCAAGCTTGCTTCATGTTGGTTGTAAAAGATGGCAGTTGCATTGTTCTTCATCTGTCTCTTCAGAGGGATCTGATGATGTTTCTCCTGAAAGGTTGTGGGAGGTACAATTGACTGTTTTTTAACCTAGTGTCTATAACAATATTGATTATTCCGCAAGCAAGGCTGTTACCATGATATGTACAAACTTATACTGATTATTGCTATAATTGCATTAGGATCTGAAGCCTACTATATCATACCTTTCACCTAAAGAGTTGGAATTGGTTTACAACGCTCTCAGGGTAAGGCCTTTGATTTGCAAAATATTGTTATCTTGCACTTTCTAAAAAAATATCTCTTTGATATTGTGGTAATACCTAAAAGTTGTTTTTTATTTGGTACAGCTAGCTTTTGAGGCACATGATGGCCAAAAGAGACGAAGTGGAGAGCCTTTTATCATTCATCCAGTTGAAGTTGCACGCATTCTTGGAGAACTTGTGAGTTGTTAGAAGTATGCTCTCATTGGAAACTGTTTTCTGCATTGTGATCTGAAGACTAACTTGACTAAATTATTATTCTAGGAATTGGATTGGGAGTCTATTGCAGCTGGATTGCTACATGACACTGTGGAAGATACAAATGTTGTTACATTTGAAAGAATAGAGGAGGAGTTTGGTCCTACGGTACGCCGCATTGTAGAAGGAGAGACTAAGGTTCTTTGTTTATACTTTAATGGATATTATTACTGCATTTGTCTGTTCTAGCTTGAATGTCATGTTAGACAAATCTCTCTAGTTTGCTTTGGCTTATTTTGGTTTCTTTTATCTTTTTTCCTGATCAGGTATCCAAGTTGGGAAAATTGAAGTATAAGAATGAAAATGATTCAGTAAAAGATGTGAAAGCTGATGACCTACGGCAGATGTTTCTAGCCATGACAGAGGAGGTGATGATTCTCTCTCTCTCTTAATGATGTTTTTATGGAAATTAATGTGTTAACCAAATGTTTCCTTCTTAGGTTCGTGTCATCATTGTTAAATTAGCTGACAGATTGCATAATATGCGCACTCTTTCACACATGCCTCCGCATAAACAGGTTGGTGGTATGAGTTTAACCTTACCTAGTAATAGACCATTTACTTATTCTGTTTAACATTATTGTTTCATTTCAGTCCAGCATTGCAATGGAGACATTGCAGGTCTTTGCTCCTCTAGCAAAGTTGTTGGGAATGTATCAAATCAAGGTACATCCTTATGCTTCTTTCGAAAATACAATTTCCATTTTATGCTCATGGATTCAACATAATTTTTGGTGTTTAAATGATGCTGACAAATCCAGACACTGTAAGCACAAATTTTCCATTCTTTGCTTTTAAAATTCTAAGTTTATTGATCTAGATTTGTTTCCCACTTTTAAACCTTCGCATTTAAACTCCTTAATTAACTTCTTATTTGAAATAGTTGATGTTAATTTTTAGGTGGAATTTATAATATTTTTATGTAATGCTAAGATTTATACAGTAAAACACAATGGCATTGTATTAATAAAGATCAAGCATTTAGTGCCTGTTTGGCCTGGTTTTTTACAGCTTATTTACCTCTTAAAAGCGGAAGTCAAGCCAAATAGGATTTTTGAAAATCTCTTAAAAAAAAATCATCTTTTTTTAAAGAACAAAAAAAAAAAAAAATAAGAGCTGAAAGAAAAGCTCCAAAGAGGAGCTTTCTTTTCTCTTTTTCTAAAAATACACCAGCTTTTCTTTAAATACCCTCTCTCTCAATCAATCTCCCTCTCCTCTCCCTCCCTTTGCAAATCACCTTTCTCTAGCGCAAAATCGCGATTTGCTTTTCTCTACCTCTCTCTACAAAGACTACTAAAAAAACAGAAGACTTAGCAATAGAATAACAAAATTCAGGGTTTTTTTGTTCTTACAAAATTAAGAGAAAAGAAGACCTAGAATTCAAAGCTGTATTCAGGTACTATTTAAAGGTTCTCTCTTTTCTTCACCAAAAAAACTAATATTATTAATACTATACAAATTTGAGAGTTGTTCTGTTTCTTTATGGATTTTTTTTTATTTTAACATTTGAAATCATATATAAACTCGAAACAGACTTGTTCTGCTTTGGTTTATTTGATGATTGAAGATGGTAGGAATACCCTTAATAATAATTTTAACCAAAATTAGAGCTTATATAATTTATTTTGCCAAACAGCATTAGCTTAATTTTAAAAGCTATTATTTTTTATAAGAGCTTCATAATAGCTTTTAAGCTAAAAAAAAGCTAGGACAAACAAGCACTTGGTTATCTCATTTTATATAAATATACTTTATAATTGTTTGCATTTAGGTTTCTTATTCTGTACCATCTAGTAAGATCTATGTATGCTGGTTATGTTGAACATGTATTATGGTGTGTCAAAGCTGCTGATATATGAAGAATTTGATTGCTCATTTGCATTTATTTTCCACAGTTCTATAAAGAGTGATGATAATATATTTCTGTCTTTTATCTTTGTTGTGTCTCAGCTGCTGATACATTACATCCTTTTGCTGGATAATAATCATGTTAACAAATAATCTGATTACTTTTTGCAGTCTGAACTTGAAAATTTATCCTTCATGTACACAAATCCTGAAGATTATGCCAAAGTGAAGAGAAGAGTTTCAGACCTCTATAAAGAACATGAAAAAGAGCTCGTGGAGGTAAACATTGTTCTATTTTACTCAACAGTAATTTAAGTAGAGCTATACAAATATTATCTATGTGATAATTGACATGGTAGTTCAATGTTGATAATCTACTTTATGAAAGTGTGAAGTATTGAGGTTCTTGAACTGATATATATCTGATTAGTTGTGATTTTTTTTTTTTTGGGTACTAGGCAGATAAAATTTTGATGAAAAAGATTGAGAATGATCAATTCCTGGACCTTATGACTCTTAAAACTGAAATTCATGCCGTGTGCAAGGAACCATACAGGTGAAGCCTTGAGTCATTTTTCTGCCCGTTTGTTCATTTCGATTCGGTTCTCTTCCTCATGATACTCATGGCTGGAAGTTTTGAGGATAATATCAAGCTGCGTTTTATGTCGACTATCTATGACTGAATAGGTTTATTAGAAGCAGAGAAGAACAAGATGCAAAATTTCAAGCTGTGCCTTCATATACATATATATATATGCCTTATGGGGATTACATACGAGTAATTGGGTGTGTCGTAGAAATAAGCTACCAATGGGTTTTAAGTTAGTTTTGTGGGGTGACCCAAAGGGGAGAGGAGATGCCATTTGACCCAAAGACAGTTAGATTTAGCAAGACATAAGATATCATTTGAATATCTATATTGAAAATGGTGTTTGAATTCCTGTGGCCTTCCTTACCACTTTATGATGGCTTTTGAAGGCTTGTTTGGCAGGCTTTTGAGTGATAGATTTCCTTATATGTAAGTTTTGTTTTGGATCACAGTATTTACAAATCTGTGCTCAAAGCTAAGGGTTCAATCAGTGAGGTTAACCAAATTGCCCAGGTATGTTCTGACGTTGCCTTGAACCCTCTTGACATCTAAAATGATACTTTTTTAATGGGTTAGTTTGGCTTATTGACACATTGATTCCTGTTGCTTGTAACCAGCTTCGTATGATCATAAAACCAAAGCCATCTGTTGGAGTTGGACCTTTGTGTAGTCCACAGACGGTGAATTTTTGTGCCAATGCAAACTACTTAGTTGTCTTAGAATGCATCTGTACTTATGTAAAAATTGTGTTTGCTCTGTGCAGATTTGCTACCATGTTCTTGGGTTGGTCCACGGTATCTGGACTCCTGTTCCTAGAGCTGTATGTATCCTTCTTTCTCCTCTTTTGGTTTGTCTTTTCAATATTAGATTATTGATATTTTTTTTATAAATATTGGTGTGCTTTTGAACAGATGAAGGACTACATAGCCACACCAAAGCCTAATGGCTATCAAAGTCTTCATACAACTGTAATTCCATTTTTGTATGAAAGCATGTTTCGCCTGGAAGTTCAGGTTCTTGAATTCTCAATGTTCCTTTCAGCCATTTCAGAAACAACTTTTTGCTGAGTTAAATTATTTGAATTGAAATTTTTAATGCCAGAATATCCTTAAGCTCTTTCCAAACAATTTTGAATCTTTTGATGAATATTCAAGTAATAAATTACTGACTCACATATGTTAATAATGTATTAAAAGATGAATGTGCGAGTGATGCTCATTGTAATTTAGTCTGATTTTTATAAATTTGCAACATATTTGATTAAATATTTTTGTCGATTTCTTGCAGATTAGAACTGAAGAGATGGATTTGATAGCTGAGAGGGGCATTGCTGCTCATTATAGTGGTAGAGTCTTTGTTACTGGCCTAGTTGGGCATGCGGTGCCAAATGGTAGAAGTTCAAGAGGGAAGACAGTTTGTCTTAACAATGCAAACATAGCACTCAGGGTATACATAGATTCCTTGATAAATTGTGATGAATCATCCTTGAAGGGATTCCTTGACACCTTTTAAATTCCCCTGACAAGATGGATAAAGCCCTTTCTTTTCTCCAGGTTGGTTGGCTCAATGCTATTAGAGAATGGCAAGAGGAGTTTGTTGGCAACATGAGTTCTAGAGAATTTGTTGATACCATAACCAGGGATCTCTTAGGTAGCCGTATCTTTGTCTTTACCCCAAGGGGAGAGGTAATATAATTCACATACCAAAACTTCTGCTTTATTTTTGCTAAAAAATTTTAAAAATCTGAGTGCTAGTGTTTTGATAAATTCTTTATGTGATGGACAGATTAAAAATTTGCCTAGAGGGGCTACTGTCATTGACTATGCCTACATGATACACACCGACATTGGAAACAAAATGGTGGGCGCAAAGGTATCTTGTATTTTCATGGCATTATTTTCCGATTACGTGTCAGCCTATAACAAAAGGCACAAGTTTAATGCTTGATCTTCTCATTGCAGGTCAATGGAAATCTTGTTTCTCCTATGCATGTACTTGCCAATGCAGAAGTTGTGGAGATTATCACCTATAATGTCAGTATATATTGGCTATTGTCCAATACTTTTCCATTTTGCTGAACTTATAATCAAACATGTTTCCTTCATCATGTTTAAATTGTGGGATAACCTGTATCTCCTATGCATTAAAAAAATATATGTAATATTTGCATTTCTTTTTCTTTGAAAAATCTGAAACTAGCAGTTAGGGCCACCAAATTCAGAGTATTGTTGCATGATTTAGGTCATTCGACCTATTATTGAAGAGATGTGTATTTTCTAGTTTGTCGGTTGTGACAGAATAGAAGAGACATAGTTTAATGGTTGAAGTACTTACAAAAATCTAGTTATTGCTGTTGGCTAATCTTATCTGTGTTCTCATTTTCTGTCTATTTTAAATTCACCAGGTTGCAGTATTGATTTATAGGTTATTTTTGCACAAGCAATAACCCTGTTCTTTTCATAGTTTACAACTTTGCCTCTTGTCCAGGCTCTCTCAAGCAAATCAGCTTTTCAAAGGCATAAGCAGTGGTTGCAACATGCTAAAACACATAGTGCCAGGCACAAAATTATGAAAGTAGGTTGAATTGCATGCAGTATGAATTATCTATATTTTTCTTTCATAATCGTCACTTCGCTGATTGTCTAAATAACTACTTATAATTAGTTCTTGAGGGAGCAAGCTGCCCTATCTGCTGCTGAAATAACAACAGATAGGGTAAATGACTTCATTGCTGACTCTGAAGAGGAGAGTGAATTGGAAGAGCCCTCACATATTTCCCGATGCAGCAAACCTCTATGGCAGAAGATCCTAAGGAATGTTGTGGACTTTTCATCCCCAGGGAGAAGTTGTGAAGATGCCTTGATGGCAAAAAATGGAAGTATTTGGGCCCCTAAGGTCAATGGGAAGCATAACAAACATATGCAGCAGGTGAGTTTGAAGGCCAATGGGGACTTGTTATCACTGGGCAATGGTGCTGCAAATATGATACCTGCAAACATTCCACCACACAAGGAGGTCTTGCCTGGTTTGGAATGTTGGCAAGCCAGTAAAATTGCTTCATGGCACAATCTTGAAGGACATTCTATCCAGTGGTTTTCTGTTGTCTGCATCGACCGCAGAGGTAAATCTTTTGGTAATTATGATAATGATTATTTTAAACTTGCTTTTGATAAGAGGTTTTCCATTATAAGTGGCATGTTGATGCTAGTGGCATACAAATACAAACAATTGGAGGAAGTAGGCTCTTATAGGATTGGCGGGAACTGGGAAAATTAGGTAGGGATCCCAGCAAACTACTCAATAACTGTCCTCTAATGCCGGAGGAACTGTGGATCATCCTACCAAGCTATTTCTATAAACGGTAGTCTTATAGCTGCCTCGTGGATATTCTAACCAGAGCATTTAGATTTAGGATGCCATCATTTTGCAGACTATTCACTTAAATCAAACTGTTTTCATTTTTTTTTCTGGCTAAATGTTTTAATTTGCTAATATGATTTTAGGAATAATGGCTGAGGTCACAACAGCATTGGCAGCGGTAGGCATCACCGTATGCTCCTGTGTGGTGAGTGATTTAAATTCATCTATCATATAGTTTACATCTGATTGTTAAGTCTTTGCTAGTTCCATAACATCTTTACTTGCTATTTTCAGGCTGAGATTGATAGAGGAAGGGGGATGGCTGTAATTTTATTTCATGTTGAAGCCGACCTTGAAATTTTGGTACTGTGTCAGATCTACTTTTAATTCAATTTTGTTTCTCCTCTTCCTTGTTTGCGTTTTTTTCTTTTGCACCTTGTGTCTGTATGTGCACATGTATGAGAGACAGAGAGAGAGAGTTTATACTTTTTAAATGTCATGAGATGAATTCCATACTGATACAAGGAACTGCACGGTTCTTTCTCAGGTTAATGCTTGTTCAAGGGTGGATCTAATACTGGGTGTTCTGGGATGGTCTATTGGTTGCAGCTGGCCAAGCTCAATACAAAATGACCAACTTCTTGAGTGCTAATTCAAAAATGGATCCAATAAATCCAACTAGTTGACCCAGCAGTTGCAAGCTTGGGTATGAAGTTTTGTCCCCCATAGAGCTTAAGACCTACTGTTCTATAGTAATTTTGCCTTTTTAGTCCATAGTCCTCATCTATTTGTTAGATGATCATAACCAAATAAACCAGGAGCGAAGTAAGCTGACTCTGGATCGGGGCACTGTATATAGAAGAAAAGAGATGGTTAGAGTTGAGTATACCCTTGTAAAGATACTTGTACTAAAGGATGAGTATACACTGGAAAACACTTAAACAAGTTTGTAACTGTTTCATATGAATAAACTATTCTCCCTCATCATTTTCATTTCTTAGATTTTTGTTTTGCTTCTTGACATCAGCTGATACTACAGCCCCTGGATAGTGAATTAGCTCAATCTGTAATTTGGGTGAACCAGTTGCATTGTAAATTACCGATTAATGCCGAAGCAGGTTGGATTGGCAGTAGGGGCAAGCCGACGGGATGGGATCTACTTTATATGTGGTGGTGTAATGGTAGTCGACGATGATTAATGAACCCGCACTTTCGTCAATGCCACTATTTCCTTCTGAGTCGTCACCTTTTTTATTCTTTTTTACCTCTGTTAAACTGTCACGTGACCTGGAGTGTAGTACATGTTACAATTTATGGGTATAAGTCTTGTAATCTCATTAGTATGTTGTAGCATTTTTATAAACTTTAACTTCGTGAAGGGCATATCGAATTTATTAAAATTCACAAATAATTCAGTTGAATGAAATGTACAGACTTCCGTTTACTTTTTCTGCCCTTGTTAGTGCTGATTCTTATTTCATGGGAAAAACAAAAGAAACATCGTTAAAGAGGTAATTAGGTTGGAGTAAGCAATTGGCAAGCAGAAGTAGCAGCAGTAGAACCAAACCTAACCAAACCCAAATCTTGCGCTTTGCTGTTGAATGTTCTTTTTGATCATTCTTCTCGACATGCTTCTGAGTTTCTTCCTTTGTACCGTTATTGCTGCCACTTGCGTCCAACATGTTAGCCGAGTAATGATACGCTTCTATCTTGGCTGTCGTGTCTGTCTCCTCCAATTTCTTTACAGATATTCGATGGCTAATAGTCATCTCTTTGGATTCAAGTGATAGTACCCCCATCATCTCTGCTGGCCAAATTGCCTCCATATTCGATTCTGAGGAAGAGCTCCCTGTTCCTTCTGTCGAAAATGATGATTGCAACGGTGAGTCTTCTTCTTCTTCTGTTGAAAATGATGATTCCATTGGTGAATATCCTTCTTCTTCTTCTTCTTCTGTTGAAAATGAAGATAGCATTGGTGAATATTCTTCGTCATCTTCATCTTCTGTTGAAAATGATGATTGCATGAGTGAATATTCTTCTTCTTCTTCTTCTTCCTCCTCTGCTAAAAATGATGATTGCATGACTGAACATTCTTCTTCTTCTTCTGTTGAAAATGATGATTGCATGAGTGAACATTCTTCTTCTTCTTCTTCCTCTGCTGAAAATGATGATTGCATGACTGAACATCCTTCTTCTTCTTCTTCTACTTCCTCTTCCTCCGCTGAAAATGATGATTGCGTGAGTGGATATTCTTCTTCTTCTTCTTCTTCTTCTTCCTCTTCCTCCGCTGAAAATGATGATTGCATGAGTGAATATTCTTCTTCTTCTTCCTCTTCCTCCTCCGCTGTAAATGATGATTGCATGAGTGAATATTCTTCTTCTTCCTCCTCTTCCTCCTCCGCTGAAAATGATTGCATGAGTGAATATTCTTCTTTTTCTTCTTCCTCTTTCTCCTCCGCTGTAAATGATGATTGCTTTGGTGAACATTTCTCTTCTTCTGTTGATGGCACTGATGACAACGATGATTGCAGTGTTGACTTTTCTTCAGCGGTCGGCTTTGCACCTGCATCGACCGCTTCACCTTCTATCTCTATTTCAATGGTTTCCATCACTGAAGAGTCGTCGGTGTCATTCTTGACCACGTTCATTGGTTTATGCAAGGAGGAGTGGTCAATCACTTGACGTGAAAGCTCTTCAATATCACCATAATCATCAGTCATTGCAATGCTTTCTTGCTCTGTATCAGAGATGAGAATCTCTTGGTGACCATTTATAGAATGAGATTCCTTTTGCTGGCAATGCATCGTATTCTCTTCCTGAATAAAACACGTAAGGATATGAAGAACGTAACAAGTTGCAGTATCTGAAATTCGTTAGCTTTGAGTCAGATTAAATGGGCTAAAGAACCCCAAAAAAAAAAAAAAATACAACTTCATATAGAAAAAGAGTTCCAAATGAGGCAAAAAAACATGAGGTTTTTTACCGAGGTCAAATTTTGGGTCGAGACCAATTCGCAAGTTTCAAATTGGGTGATACCAATCGTTGATGTTCCATGGTTTGTGCAACTGCAAATAATGATCCTCCAAATTAAACTATTTACTAAAAGAAACAGGCAAACAGAGTCTAATGATATCCCACGTGCAACTGTTTATTTCATCATAGAATCAAGGGTTGTGAAAGTAGAACTTGGTGGAACTATAGATCTCGGGCTCTAATTTTCCAAGAACATACCTTTAATTCCAGCCAATTCCAATACTAAAGGTCGAATTCTATCACATAAAAATACTAACCATGAATTTTGATGTAGAGTTGGAGAGGAATCCTGAAGGATAAAACGTAGCCCTTGGCTTCCATCTTCTTCTTCCCTGCCACAGTCGGTAACTGCTAAATCGTTGTGTCCTTGTTGCTATCTTTCCTACCTTTCTTGATCATAAAAGAAGCTACCGGCTTGCGATAGCCAAGGCTCCACTCAAGACAACCACCCCTTCTATACCGCTACCACCGGCAGCATTACCCATGCTTAGTTGAAATTTCCTTCTCCTCTGTCCACAACTCCTCTTGTGCTTCTCCATATGTTTTTCTTGACGAGTTTACTCGAAAATTTCTTGTGTTGCGTTCTTGTTCCGTCAGGTTGGCTTTAATCAAAGAAGGCAAAGGGATTCGATTCTTGAAGGGAGGAAGAAAAAGAGAAAGAAAGAAAGGGTGATGGTATGGACCTTGGAAGGAGTGAAGTACAAAATCGGAGCTTGAAGCGGACATTTCTTTGGGTAGATTTATGACTTGGCATTCAGCATCTTAATTTGCTTCGCACCCGTTCTCTCTACGATTCCGTTATTATTTCCACCTCCCAAGACGATACGAACCCAACCCAATGACGCAAATCTAGTCATTATCTCAAAAAAAAAAAAAAAAAAGCACACTGGTACATTAATGCTAGAGATTCATTTTTCTCAAGTGACACTTAATCCTAATCCTAGTTTTGGGGAAAATGGGTTACTTAGTACTTTTATAAAGCTCCATTGTATACTAGCAAAAAAAGGTCTAAGATAAGTACTATCCCTTCTATAATATGTTTTAATTTACGAAACTATAAGTAAAAAATATTAATTATAATCGAATAATTTTCATATATATCACATATTATATTCAAAGGTTTTCTTTTTTTTTTGAAAAACAAGAACCTTTCATTTAAGACAACAGCATCACATTCTAAACCCTTTCAAGGATAATAACCAAAATAATAGTCCGAATCAGAAGTAAGGATCCGCAAAGTCTTGTTAACCATAAACCCCTCATTTACTAATAAGCATAAGCTACCAAAACCATAAAAGAACACATATCTCCACCAAAATTAAACATGCACAGAACACAAGAGCATGTTATGTATTACACCATTCATTTGCCACCATGCTTGGCCTTTTTGTGAGATTCTAGGCCACCCTCAGAGCCGAATGACTTGTTACAAGATCCGCAAGAGAATTGGCCACCAGGCTTCGGACTCTCTGCAGAAGATTTCCCAGCTTGCTTTGATGGGTGAGGTGTTGCTGTGTGACCACCCTTCTTACCATCTGTCTTCGGAGGTGTTGCTGCAGATTTTGTCTTTTTTGCAGAAACAGGGGTAGCAGCTTCTGCAGGTCTCTTCTTGCTTGCCTCTACCTTGTTACGTGTCTCCTCATCCTTATCATCTGAGCTTTCATCCATAGACATCTCATCAGACTCATCTTCATCCTCAGTTTTCTTGTTATTGCTTGGTTCTACTATCTTCACAGCTTGTTTTACAGCATCAGGTTTCCCATCATTAGCCTCAGATGTTTTTACATCTGTCTTAGCTTTTCCATTTTCTGCAGCAGCCACAGGAAGCTCCTCATCCTCGCTACTTTCTTCGTCACTAGACATATCTAATCCATCATCACAAAAGTTTTGTAACCAAGGAAATAGACGCTTCCATTTTTCCAGTTGTGAGAGAGCTCAAACTCTTGGTCAAATACTAAATCAATAGATAATTAAGGGAAAATCTGGTGGGAAAGAGTTTCAACAACGAGTTTCTACCCATCAGCATTTTACATGGAGGGTGACAGATTCTGCTTTGTTCTTTGACTCGCCAAGCGTTGCCTGGGAAAGATGGATGACATGATTGGCACCAGGGTCTGCTTTAATAGGCTTTCCAGCCTTAACTTCAATACCTCAGAACACCATGGATGATGTTGATAGCGGGAGAGAGGGAATAAAGAGAGGCGCCAGGGCTTTGGGAGGAAGGAGAACTAGGGTTCCAGAAAGGGGAAGCCCGAGAGTATAAACGCTTTAAAGAGTGTTCAAAGTAAAAATTAAGTAATCAAATAATATAAAATTAAACTGAACTCACATACTTTACAAATAAATTAGTAGTAATATTTATTTGTTGTCAAATAATTGCGCAATACAGGTCTTTCCTAATACTACTTTCCATGGCTGCTTAGAGTTTGATGAAATTTTTGGTACATGGTATAATTATCAAAGAATTCGATTGCCGAAGCTATTTTCAGAAATTTAACACAATTACCAAAAAAGAAATTAAGTGGTGGAGGTTATAATTTTACGTGAGGTATGATCGTGTTAACAGCGACTAGTTGGATAAGTAAGGGGAAGTGATCGACCTGAATTTAAGTAACTTTGCTCCAACTCAAATATTTAGAAACAATTGTAGTAATTTTTACATTGTTCCCAACAAGTTAAGCAAATTGTCAAACCAAAAGCAGCAAAGTATTCAATTTGTTGTATATTGATATATAGAACCCCAACTCCCAAAAACAATTGACAAATACCGTTTAGTTAACATGCGATCTCAATTATTTCAATATCCATTGGGCGAGATTGATTTAGCGTCTTGCTGTGGAATGAAGAAGAAAGGTCCAACGGTGAACAACTTCATATTCCTGTCATGGAGGAGATGGTAAGAAGCAAGAGGAGCACCACTAATCCCTTGGTTGACATCAGTTGGAACGTTGCAAGCATCCGATGGGGAGAGTTCAAGGAAAGCCTTGCATTCTCTAAGCCTCCTACTATCTTTTAACCTCATAAGGAGACACTGTTGCAATGAAATAACCCTGGCATCTGTTTGCACTACAAGATGGAGAAAGACTCTGTTTCGTACCCATACTTACCACACCCTTGGCATGTTATCCTCGCCACAGCACCTACACCCATGAAAAAGAGATATGAACATATGCCAAACTTCTACGATATTCAGTTCTCTTGCCCCTTTCGCTGTATATATATAGTACCTAGTTAAATATAGTGTCATCCATTAATCTTAGGTTGTTAAACGTCATTTTAATTAATTTAATTTTAGCTTTGTAAAAAGAATTGGGGGTTGGGATGGAAATGACCTTCAAGCGGGGTTAATTGACTGCCTGATCTGCAATAAACAAGCCCTTGAATACCAATCATTGTGGAGAGAAGCTTTTCTTTTTCAAAATATGGCTTCTGAAGTTGGGGTTGGGTTTATATTCACCATCACCACCCAAAGCAACCGCCGGAAGTAACAAAGGAAGCATAAATAAAGTTGCGAAGAAGAAATTCTTAAGAGCCATGTTCGTGTCCTCTCTCAGAGAGAGTTGTTGAATTGAAAACTTGGTGGGGGTACAATGGCTTGGCCTTTTAAAGAGATGGTGCAATATATTGCTATGCATCGTGGCATAAATTATGGAGGTAGGAAAGACTTGGCTGCACGACGTAAAAGAGCAATCATTGGACCTGGATGCCAACCAGATAATCCCATGCCATGCATACATCTAATTATCCAACTGCAACGTGCAAAGCCGGCCAATAATTCGGTATACAAAATATGCTAATTTGGTTTCTTTTTTTCCCTGATTCATTAAGATATGATTCCTCCTCAAAATTTGATAGGGAAATTTGGATGCTTCTCCCCTTCTCGGCTTTTACATCATTCCGTTGACTTTATTGACCAATTAGTCTTAAACTCAGTAAGCCAATATATATATATATTTATTTTGGACGTCATAATTATTCAGCTTCCTTACATGCCTTCCTCGGACAATCCACTACATATCTTCACGAGTGAAACATGACTATGAGGTGAAAATCGTAATTATCAGATACTGAATTATTGAAATATATCATATCGATCTTTATTTAACTTTGTTAGTAATCTTAATCTCTTAAATTAATAATCTCAAATTGCATGGTATTCCTTTTCATAAACATTCATCTATTATTTAATAATCTTATAAATAGTTTCTAAGTAATCTTAATCAATAGTATTCAATAATCTTGTAAGATACAAACTTACTGAAATATTATATACTAATATTAGACACTTGGTAACATAAAGGTTACTCAAATATTTGATATTCAGTTATTGAAAAATAAGATAATTTTATAAATTTTTCAATAACTTAAATCTGAAAAATCATTAATCTCATAATACTAGATTACTTCCATAACTTTTATCTATTATTTAGCAAGATGTGTTTTGTGGGTAACTTTTATGAAAAACATGAACAAATATGATTATTGAAATTTTCAATACTTAGTTACATAAACTAATTATTACATATTTACGCAAACATCATATATTTTTTTAACTCAATCAATAATTAATTAGTATTAAGTATCATCGCATGGTCATGAGCAACAAAAGTTGCAGACCATTAAGAAAGCTGGAACCAAGTTCACGCAGACCGAACTTGCCCAGAAAAAAACCGCTATACAAAAGTCAGAAACACCCTATAGAAGACAATCCACCCCATTTAGCTTAACTCCACACTCCAACTGTGGAGTTTCACATGAACTGACAAGAAAAACAAAGCACCACAACAAAACAAGATATATTCCTTATAAGCAAGGTCATGAGCGCAAGCAATTCCATTCCTGAAACAGAAACAAAAAGAGTCAACTTCGCTTCTACTTCCTTATGCAACAACACTAACTAAATCAGAGATAAGCTACCAGAAGCATTCGGGAAACTCCCCTACTATCCCCGTTGCACCTATTCCTAATATATGAAGACTGCAGTTTTCTATATGGTCGTCTCGTCCCTTACAAAACCAACAGCCAAGCAACCGTAGCAAGTCACAAACAGCCCATAGTAGATCATTTTATCCATATAATCCAAACCACCAGAAATAAGACATCCCCCACTACCACCGAACTCACTAAGAACCAACTTATATTCCACATTGCATTCAACCCTTGTGCTATTGAAATATTATATATATATTTAGTGATATATCGTATATTAATATTAGATATTTAGATATAGGAAATACCTAACTCAATCCCAAAGTGTTCCTATTTTTTGAGAATTTTATTTGTTGGATATAAGATTAGGAGTGTAGTTGAGATAAAAAGCTGTACATTTGGCTTTCAATAAATTTATATGGTTTAGTTTCAAACTAGGAATGTGTTACAAGTCATAACAATTAATAATGAAAAACTCTTTAAGGCTCTGTTATTCACTTTGTAAACCAAGAGGGGTTGATTGGGTTGTGCACTTGTTATGCGCCTTGTAGCTGATATAAAACTCTAGTGAGCTCCGTGGTGCACTTGTTATGCAGCTCTGTTTTTGATTTTTACTCTGTTTATGATCTTCATCCCCAGCCTTATCGACTGAACTCACTGTATAGTTTTTTCAGTGATATTAATGAATTTATCTTCATGGTTGAGAAAAAAAATTAATAATGAAACAACATAATATAGGAAAAGGGAAGAAAAGAAAAGACACAGGAGTAGAAATATAATCATATTCAAAGCTTTATTAATAGAGCAAAGTTCATTACAAATCTCTGGCAGAGGCTGCAAGTCCAGCTAGCCAATAAAATAATCATTAAACAACGAAAATCAGACCCAAAAAAGAGCAACAGAAAAGAACCAACTTAAGTTGCCTTCTCAACTTCAAAATGAAAGATAAAAATGGGGGGAAGGGGGTATTAAAATGGATTGTTTAGTCATGAAGAATTAATTCAATTTTAGTAACCATTAGTGGCTGATTTAGCTTCGGAGGTGTAGAAGAAAGGCCCCACGGAGTACAAATTCATCTTCTTGTTTAGAACACGGAAATTAGAAAGAGGAGCGCCATCAATCCCTTTGTTGTCATTCGTGGGAATATTACAGGTCTTCAATGGAGAGCTCTCGAGATACGCCTTGCAATCTTTAAGCTTCAACTTATCTACGAGACCTGATTGAGACAATGTGGCAAAGAAGTAACCCTTTGCATCAGTTGCTCCGCTGCAAATGGAGAGGGTTTTCTCGACCCCGACCTTATCAACAGCTTTACATGTTATCTTTGCTAAAGCCCCTGCTCATGCAAAGAAATTTGATCAGAAGTGAACCCAATTAGACACAATCTTCTCAAACAAAGTCATAATATACAAAAGGGATTATTAGGAAACCAATTGTCTAAATCGACATACCTTGAATTGGATAATACTGGGAACCTGATTTACAAAAAACAAGCCCTTGAACACCAACGGAGAGAAGATTTTCCTTTTCTTCCGGCTTTGGTTCATAGAACTCTGGTTTTGTGTCATGGTAAGGCTTTTCTTCTCCTTCTGGCTTTGGTTTAGCAACGTATGGTTTTCTGCCATACTCAGGCCTTTCCTTTTCTTCTGGTTTTGGCTTGTAGATGTCTTGCTTTGTGCCATAATTAGGCTTTTCTTTTCCTTCTGGCTTTGGTTTGACGACCTCGGGTTTACTACCATAATCAGGCTTTTCTTTGTCTACCGGCTTGGGCTTGTAATAGTCTGGCTTTGAAGGATTTTCTTCTTCTTCTGGCTTTGCTTGAGGGCTGTCAGCTGGTATTCCATCGAAACCATATTTAGATGAATCATCATTACTATAATCACCAGCGGAAGCAATGACTAGCAGTGACAGTAGAAGCAATGAGAATGCCAAGGAGAGACGGGTGAGAGCCATGATTATTGCTATTAACTCTGCAATGTAATTATAAGAATGGAGACAGAAATACAAATGGATGAATAATAGGGGCTGCGACAATTGTCTTTTATAAGGAAATTGGTCAAACATACGCATACTTGCCAATAATTAAGATCTACAGAAATAAGATAAGCAATTGATTTAGAGATTAGAACTTGGGTGCACGATCGCAACGTGATTTGTAGACTTGGGTACCACTAATTGATGTACTTGAATGCTGCTTTGAGTGCCACCCCAAGACATTGTCTGCTGGCGTACGAAGGTTTTCTTTGATTGCATACATACATAATCGTCTCAATGCTTGGTTGTTTTTCAATGCGACTATCTTTTATTTTGCTCTTTTCATTCACTTGTTTATTTCTTTACTGCTTAATTATAATTTAACTTATTTTATCGTTTATATATATTGTGAAGATAAAGGAGGAGTGAATTAATAATGAGAAATGGAGCCCAGTAGGAGAATAAATTTAGTATGACAGTCTCCCTTAGACTTATGAGTTGAGTGAAATTTGGATAGAGCTTTTAGGAAAAATTATAGTATTTTTACCCAAAAAAAAACATTAGTATCATAGTCTTAGTTATTACCATATTTCTTTAATCTTTGATTAAAAGAAGTATTAGAATTAATTTTCTTTTAATAAAGGACTTTTAAGGTTTAAGTCAAAACTTATTTACTCATCAGGTCATAGTATAATTTAAGATAAAATACCCCTCACCTCTAAAGTTTTAATCAAAATTTTAAGTAGGTTTAATAGTTTTTGAAATTGATACTTCACTTAAAAAATTTATCTTCTGTTAAACGTAAATCTAGCAGTTTGTTAACTGTTAGTGTTTCTATTAATTTGATAACGTGGTAATATTGAAATGATAATTTTATCATTTATTAATTTTAATAATTACTATTATATAATTTTTATTAATTTACTATTATTGTTTTATTAATTAAAAAAAATGAGCACCGACGGTGCTTTCCAAGGGAGGGAGCACGGTGCTCCCTTCTCTTGGGTGCTTCTTTTTCTTGGAGAGCACTGATCGGGTGCTCTTCATTTTTAATTTTTTTTAAATAATAATTATTATTATTTTAATTAGTAAAGAAAAAAGGATAATTTAATCCTTTTATCATCTCTATTAATACTATTAACACTTTTGAGGTAAAGTGTTTATTTCAAAAATCAATAAACCCCATTTAGAATTTTGATTAAAATTTATGGGTGCAAGGGTATTTTTACCCTATAATTTAGGATCATTTTCAACTTCTGTATTCAATCATGTGTCTTTGTAGTTTGAATCTAATCAAATTAACTAATGTTGTTGTCTTGGTTCTTGTGTTATAGACTTGCATTTCCAATTCAAAAAACATGCATGTTAAGTGGATGAAAGCTTTTTTTCTAAACTCAAAACTCACTCCATCTCTTACTGTAACATTTGATCTCACTCAGTTGTGCAATGATACTCAATTGTACAACATTCTCATTATACTAGTTCTTTTATGTATAGAGAAGAGAGACTGTACTTTAGTTTGAATTTATCTCAATTTTAGTATTTCTCATGAGCTTTTATGTCTATAAAAATTTAAATTTGCTTTGATATCACTTGATACAGATTTATGTTTTCAACTCAAAAAATATACTTATTAAGTGAAAAAATATTTTTATTTACAAATTCAAAATTCATTTTATCTCTTACTAATGTAAAATTTGTGATATTTACATACGATTGGTTGTTACCTTAAGATCTATTTTCTCGTGAATTTTAAACTCTTCATTTAAAGAATCAACTAATTAGAACCCTTCATCATCGTCGGGCACATTCCTTAATCTTATCCTAGCCATTAATTATGGTTTTTGTTGTATCATCAATTCGACAGGGTCCAAACTGGGACGATCAACACAAATTAAATCATGACGGCCGATGTGGGCTTGGTAAAGAAGCTCACCATCGAACGCGTTGGGTAACAGCTAAATGTGCTGGAGTACGTTTTGAACTCAAAACCCAATTGAGCTCAAAACAAGTTGGCCCAAATTTCATCTCTTGTCTCTTTTCTTTTTTTTTTTATGAAATTTTTTATTCATCAACAGCATAACCCTAAATTTTACATTCTTCAGAACTTAAGCAATTAAATTTTACATGCACCAACAACATAACCCTAAATATTAGGACTCAATTAATAGTTGTGGATGTTATATTTGTAGAATAATTAAATAATGGTTGAATGTTGAAAAGTAACATATACATAGCCCAGCAGGGAATGGATCTAACCTGACCCAGTAAAATTTTACAAAGAAGAGTTCAGAAATGAACAGAGAATGTAGACTGCAGAGCTGTCATTCTGATATGTCGTCTAAAATTTCAAAAGGCCTGCGTCAGCAAAGCTAACATCTCCCGCCAGTCAACCAAGATTCTTATGCCCACGAATTTGACAAACAATGTTCTCAGCGGTTTCCATACTCATCAGCTAGTTTAGTGTAATAGTATTAGTGACTATACATTAATTATTCATAGCCGAATATCTTAACTATTTGTTTAAGCATTCTTTATTGTCAATTATTTCAAGATCAACCTTCCGTGCTTTGATCTACAATTAGTGGACTAACCAATCTTTGGCAAATATATTAACTTTACTGCCTAACTAATTTAATGCATGCCCAAGTTAATCTATTTTATTACCACTTGTTTAGTTGTACTGCTTTATTTATTCATTTTCTTCAATGCTTGGTATATGTTTACCTCATTTATCCAAAATTTTCAACCGAATGGACTTTCAGGCACGTGTGTCCACTTGGAGATAACAAAATGAGCTTCCCCCACACTTTTGAAACGAACATTTTGTATCTTTGGATAAGTTTTAAGGGGGCAATGACGGTCCTATTAATAAATCTGAAATAAATTTTTAAGGAAAAAAAAAACAAAGAAAGAAAGCTTTTTAACTGTTGGTTTTACGTTAAGCTAAATCATGATTAATTCATAGTGAAAAAACAAACAACAAGAACATCAATTAATTGTGCACCTTGACCATTACAATTTAAGATATACAATGGAACCTGGTCAGAGCATATGGAAGAATATCTTATGAAATCTTTTGAAGGATGACTATCACCTAATGCTGGATAGCTTGGTAAAGATTATGGAAGTTACTTAATCTTTAGCAAAACCTCCCATTTCCTTATTTTTGCCACCTTACCAAAAGTCACAATACTGTTCCAAACCTTTCCAAAATTTCCTATCATGATTCCCTCGTTTTAATGAGACCAACCAAAAATCAAAAGATAATTCTTTAGACTTGGCCGCCATTGGCCAAGCGACGTAAGACCAGGAACATGCCAGCAAAAGAAAAAGAAAGTGTCTTGGTACGCAAGAAAGTCAAATTAAATTTTACTGTACACCCAAGGCAGGCAAAATCACACGAAAGTTCCAATTTCCAACTTGCATTCACTGTCGCCCACCACCGCTCTTTGCCTCTCACTACTTAAACCCCTGCTCTTTCCTCTCCTTTCATTCTTCACTGCGAAATTCTTTTATATTAAACCCGCTTTTTGTTTCTTCAAAATCCTTAAACCCTTCTTTCTTGTGACATCTTCTTCACTACTGCATTTATTGCTCAGATACCGTTAACAATAGTTGCTTTGCTTCTGCTGATTAAGAAATGTGCGGCGGTGCTATCATTGCTGATTTCATCCCCCGCAAGCGTGGCCGCAACGTCACAGCCTCTGACCTCTGGCCTAACCCACCCTTCGCTAAAACCAATGGTTTTAACTCCGAACTGTGTCAACTTGGCCGTGGTGACTCGCTAGCTCACTTCAAAGGACCACAAACCCAGCCCTCCTTAGGTACCATTCCCCTTCTGCATGTGTTTTTATTCAATCTTGATATTCTTTGATTTTGCTTGTGTTCTAATTGTGGAATTTGTTAACAGGTGTTGAGCAAGAGGATAAGAAGCCAAAGAAGCAGAGAAAAAACTTGTACAGGGGCATAAGGCAACGCCCCTGGGGCAAATGGGCAGCAGAGATTCGCGACCCTCGGAAAGGTGTTCGTGTTTGGCTCGGCACTTTCAACACTGCGGAGGAAGCAGCCCGAGCTTACGACAGAGAGGCCCGCAAGATCCGGGGTAAAAAGGCTAAGGTTAATTTCCCCAACGAAGACAACGACTTCTCTATTCAATATAACCAAGATCATTTTAACAACCATGAAATCAATAACCATAACTCAGCGGCTGCGTGGAATCACAACCCCAATTCAAATCCATCTGTTTATCCACAGCCCTGTAATAATTTAGATAATTATGGATTTGGTTATGACCTGAACCAGTTCGGCGGTTATGCTACAGACCCTATTGTTATATCTGGGGAGGAAAATTCAGTGTCTGGTTCAGAAGGGTCCTACTCTTGTAATCCAAATGTGAACAATGGTTGTTTATATGGCCCAGTAAAGGTTGAAGAAGAAGACGAAGAGAAGCGAGAAGAGCCAGTGAACAGGGCTGTGTTGCAAGTTCAAGAAGAAAACCAAGTAGAGAAGCTCTCTGAGGAGCTGATGGCTTATGAAAATTACATGAAGTTTTTTCAGATTCCATATTTGGATGGGCAATCAATGACACAAACTGTTGCTGTTCCGCCTGAGAATGTTATCGGCGAGCTTTGGAGCTTTGACGATGGTGGTGTTCCTGTTACTTCAACCGCTATGTAACCGTTTCTGGGTTTTCTTTCTTTCATTTTTTATTTTTCTCTTTTGCCTTCATCTCTTGTTTTTTTTTTTTTGATCTTTTCAATCTTTTGGGAGGTGTTATGTAAAAAGGATGGTAATTGATTATTTTGGTTGCTACTTTTAAAATGTTGGTTAATTTTGTTAAATTCTGATGCATTATTATCTGCAATTTATATCACGACTCAATCAAATTCGTTCTTTTTACTCTTGTCATTTTATGGAAATATTTTATTCATTTGGTCCCAAAATCAGCCATCAGAGTTGGGTTCGGATAAAACCACAACTTGCCTGGTGTTCTTAATTCTTTTGAAGTCTTTGCTTTTTC